TCACTACACTCACCACACTCACCACACTCACTACACTCACCACACTCACTACACTCACCACACTCACTACACTCACCACACTCACCACACTCACCACACTCACCACACTCACCACACTCACTACACTCACCACACTCACTACACTCACCACACTCACCGCACTCACTACACTCACCACACTCACTACACTCACCACACTCACTACACTCACCACACTCACTACACTCACCACACTCACCACACTCACCGCACTCACCACACTCACCACACTCACTACACTCACCGCACTCACTACACTCACTACACTCACTCACTACACTCACTACACTCACTCACTACACTCACCGCACTCACTACACTCACTACACTCACCACACTCACCACACTCACTACACTCACTACACTCACCACACTCACCACACTCACTACACTCACCACACTCACTACACTCACCACACTCACTACACTCACCACACTCACCGCACTCACCACACTCACCACACTCACCACACTCACTACACTCACCACACCCACCGCACTCACTACACTCACCGCACTCACTACACTCACTACACTCACTCACTACACTCACTACACTCACTCACTACACTCACCGCACTCACTACACTCACTACACTCACCACACTCACCACACTCACTACACTCACTACACTCACCACACTCACCGCACTCACTACACTCACTACACTCACCGCACTCACCTCATGTAGTCGTTCTACTGCAGAGGTCAAGTTCCTGCAAACAGAAGAGATTGGATCAGCACAACCACACAATCACACAGCCAGACAACCACACAGTCACACAAACACACAACCACACAATCACACAACCACCACACAGCCGCACAGCCAAACAGCCACACAAACACACAGCCACACAACCACACAAACACACAGCCACACAACAACACAACCACACAAACACACAACCACACAGCCACACAGCCACACAAACCCACAACCACACAAACACACAGCCACACAACCACACAGCCACACAACCACACAGCCACACAGCCACACAAACCCACAACCACACAAACACACAGCCACACAACCACACAGCCACACAACCACACAGCCACACAGCCACACAAACACACAACCACATAGACAGATAACCACATAGCCACACAGCCACACAACCACACAACTACACAACAACACAACCACACAAACACACAACCACACAAACACACAAACATACAACCACACAGCCACACAGCCACACAACTACACAACCACACAAACACAACTTCAACAATCAGCGCAACAATCACAACCACATCCACGCAACCAAAACGAGACAACGCAATGGGATCTTGAATCGAATAATCAGCACCATCAGCATCACCATCAGCATCATCATCAGCACCATCAACATCATCAGCACTACCACCAGCATCATCAGCATCAGCACCATCAGCATCACCATCAGCATCATCATCAGCACCATCAACATAATCAGCACCACCACCAGCATCATCAGCACCATCAGCATCATCATCAGCATCATCAGCACCATCAGTATCATCAGCACCATCATCAGCACCATCAGTATAATCATCAGCATAATCAGCACCATCAGTATCATCATAAGCACCATCATCAGCACCATCAACATCATCAGCACCACCACCAGCATCATCAGCACCATCAGTATAATCATCAGCACCATCAGCATCATCATCAGCACTATCATCAGCAACATCAGCATCATCATACTCTTTGGTTCTATTGGGTAAAGGCACGTAGGTAACAAATAAAATACCTACGTGACTTTACCCAATAGAACCAAAGAGTATGGATCCTTGCAGTCACGAAAGCTTTAAATCTAGAATCAGCATCATCATCAGCACCACCAACACCATCACCAGCACCATCATCGGCCACGATCTATCCACTGCTGGATGAAAGACTCTCCGAGCCGCGTGAGTCACGAGCGTCGTTTGACCATACTTCACCACGCTGGTCAGAGCGGGTGCAAGGGGGCATCTATGCGATCCCGCATAGATGGAGCAGGCGGAGTCCGCATTGTCTCCACGCTGCCGGTTTGTGGCGAGCCAGGGCACAACTCCTTCTCGACGCCCACCCACGGGGGAAGGGAGTTTCACAGCCCATCAGTGCGTGGTCCACCAACCCTCGCTGCTGCTGCCTCCACAGCACTGGACTACAGGCTGCAGGCACGTGGTGCACGGCAGGCACGTAGTGCACGGCAGGCACGTGGTGCACGGTAGGCACGTGGTGCACGGTAGGCACGTGGTGCACGGTAGGCACGTGGTGCACGGCAGGCACGTGGTGCACGGTAGGCACGTGGTGCACGGCAGGCTCCTGGTGCACGGCAGGTACGTGGTGCACGGCAGGCACGTGGTGCACGGCAGGCACGTGGTGCACGGTAGGCACGTGGTGCACGGCAGGCTCCTGGTGCACGGCAGGCACGTGGTGCACGGCAGACACGTGGTGCACGGCTTGCTTAGATTCCGAGATGTAACGGGGATAGGACGTAACCACAACCACCACCATAAAATCTCGCCGCACCATGTGCACCAAAACACCACCAACTCCAACCACACCACCAACACATCACCACGCACTCCACCACACCACGAACCCCAACCCCACCACACACCCCACCACACCACACACCACACCACACCACGAACCTCAACCCCACCACGCACCCCACCACACCACACACCCCACCACACCACGCACCCCACCACACCACGCACCCCACCACACCACGCACCCCACCACACCACGAACCCCACCACACCACGCACCCCACCCCACCACGCACCACATCACGCACCCCACCACACCACGAACCTCAACCCCACCACGCACGCCACCACACCACGCACCCCACCACACCACACCACGCACCCCACCACACCACACACCCACCCCACCACACACCACACCACACCACGCACCCCACCACACCACGCACCCCACCACACCACACACCCACCCCACCACACACCCCACCACACCCCACCCCACCACACCACACACCACACCACACACCACGCACCCCACCACACCACGCACCCCACCACACCACACACCCACCCCACCACACACCACACCACACACCCACCACACCACACACCACACCACACCACGCACCCCACCACACCACGCATCCCACCACACCACACACCCACCCCACCACACACCCCACCACACCACACCCCACCACACCACACACCACACCACACACCACGCACCCCACCACACCACGCACCCCACCACACCACACACCCACCCCACCACACACCACACCACACACCCACCACACCACACACCACACCACACACCACGCACCCCACCACACCACGCACCCCACCACACCACACACCCACCCCACCACACACCCCACCACACCACACCCCACCACACCACACACCCCACCACACCACACCCCACCACACCACACACCACACCCAACCACACCACACACCCCACCCCACCACGCACCCCACCAAGCGCTCAGCCGCAGGAGCACGCGGGGCAACCCACACATCCGAGTACCTGTCGTCAAGGCGACGCGCCGTTTCCACGGAGACGGAGTAGGCTCTCCCTGCATCACCATGGAGACGGAGGCGGTGTTAGTTCACTGAGAGTGCGTGTGTGTGTCTGTGTGTGTGTCTGTGTGTGCGTGTGTGTGTGTCTGTGTGTGTGTCTGTGTGTGTGTCTGTGTGTGTGTCTGTGTGCGTCTGTGTGTGTGTCTGTGTGTCTGTGTGTGTGCCTGTGTGCGTGTGTGTACGGTGCTGTAGCAGTTAGCGCTATGCTGTGCTACGAACCCAGCGACCCGGGTTCGATGCCCGCTCACGGCCAACACCGGTGACGATTATTCTGAACCGCTCCCGGGCCTCCCCTAGGTCGACTCAGCCTCGAATGAGTACCTGATGCGGTGTGTAAACATCGCCACTGGGGAGACAAAGGCGGCCGGGCGTGGTGCTGGCCACCCACCCCCTCGTGTGCCGCGCCGGCCTTCACAGGTGCTGCTACTCGCTAACAGCACTTGCCCCTACAGTCTGTTAGGGCTACACGGGGGATCTTTGTCTTTGTGTGCACGCGTGGGGAGTGTTTGTGCAGTGGTCAGCGGACCGTGCTACGACTCCCGCTCATAACGATCGCGAATGTGTGAACCGGCTCTGGGCATCGCCTAGGTCGACGCAGCCTAAAATAAATACATGTTTTTTTGTGTTCAGTTTGCTGTCCGTCCCCCGCACCTCCGAATTACCACGGTTGGCTACGTACGGTACGAAAGAAGTTCAACTTATGGTGGTGCTGGCCACCCACGCCCTCAGGAGCTGTTAAAGACGAGACGGTGATCTTTGTCTTTGTTGTGAGTCAATGGGTGTCGGCCTTCGTGGCCTTGCTGGCAGCACCCCCACCCCACAGCAGCACATGGGGGGGGGGCGGGGGGGGGGCTGTGAGTGCACAGCAGAGCCTCACCTAAGACACGCGGAGAGCTCCACACCCACCCCTCCCTGCACCCCCCCACCCACCCCCTCCCTGCACCCCCCCCCCCACTCCTCCCTGCACCCCCCCACCCACCCCTCCCTGTACCCCCCCCCACCCACCCCTCCCTGCACCCCCCCCACCCACCCCTCCCTGGACCCCCACCCACCCACCCTCCCTGCACCCCCCCCACCCACCCCTCCCTGCACCCCCCCCACCCACCCCTCCCTGCACCCCCCCACTCCTCCCTGCACCCCCCCCCCACCCACCCACTCCTCCCTGCACCCCCCCACCCACCCCTCCCTGCACCCCCCCCCACTCCTCCCTGCACCCCCCCACCCACCCCTGCCTGCACCCCCCCACCCACCCCTGCCTGCACCCCCCCCTCACTCCTCCCTGCACCCCCCCCCCACTCCTCCCTGCACCCCCCCCCACTCCTCCCTGCACCCCCCCCCCCCACTCCTCCCTGCACCTCCCCACCCACCCCTCCCTGCACCCGCCCACCCCTCACCGTGGGGGAGGGGTGGCTCGGGCTCGTGGCTGCTCGTGAAGACCTCCACGGCCGAGATGCCGGCGCCAGAGTAGTCCACACTGGGGCTCACCGGCTCGTCTGGGGAGACAAAGGCGGCCGGGCCGGGGGAGGGGGGTAAGGAAGGGGTGGGGTGAGCGAGGAGGGGTGAGCGAGGAGGGGTGAGCGAGGAGGGGTGAGCAAACTCCTCTGGATCAAACGCGATTCTTGCAGGAGGATTCCACCCATTCCCTATACCTCTGAATCACTCTCTCTCTCTCTGACTCGTTCTGTCTTTCTGAATCGTTCTGTGAATCATTCTCTCCCTTTGATTAATTCTCTCTCTCTGAATCATTCGCTGACTCATCTGATTCATTCTATCTTTCTAAATCCTTCTCTGAATCATTATCTCTTTCTCTCTATGCGTGAAGGATCCAGTACTGGTCGCTGTCACAGAGTCCCAATTTGTTACGGGATGGGGATGCACAATTCTGTTCCATCCTTGCGAATGGTGGCAGCAGCACCACCAGCAGCAGAACCACCACCAGCAGTAACAGCACCACCAGCAGCATCAGCAGCAGCATCAGCAGCAGCAGCACCACCACCAGCAGCAGCAGCATCAGCTGCCACGTGGTTCACGAGCTATCGATGCCAATGTCGAGGTCTGCCGCTGCTGATGCTGCTGCTGATGCTGCTGCTGATGATGCTGCTGATGCTGCTGCTGATGATGCTGCTGATGATGATGCTGCTGATGCTGCTACTGCTGATGCTGCTGGCCACGGCGAGAGAGCTTCAGCAGACAGAGAGAGTTCGTGAAGCAGCGCTCACCACGGCATTCCAAATTCCGTGGTCACGCACTGCGTGATGGGGCTGGCGATACTCGAGGTGCTTAATAAAAAAATAAACGTTTTGTAACGCTTCTGGAGAATTTGCAACAATGCCGCCACCAATGTGCTGCTGCCCCCGGGATCTGGAGATACCACCTGGAGAAGATGACGATGATGGCGAACACGTGGGAGACTCGGGGACCTTACTGACGCTATTAACACGACACTTGTTATCGTGTCACAGCGAAATATCCCCGTTCATTTCCCACTAAGAACGATAGTCCCGTGTAAGTGTGAACACTCTGTTGAGGCACCCTGTACTGTAACCAGGATGGGGCTAATGACGGAGTTAGTCACGGCCTCGTGATGGGACTGGCTTGCAACGTCGACACATTCACGTCACTCTGCTGCTTGGTTTTACCCAGGAAGCCTCGGCGAGTCTCAAGACTCCTGTTTTTAGGAGGATCCTGCCACGTATTAATCTTTGGTTCTTTCGGTAAAGTCACGTATAAATAAGAAATAATAAAATAACATAATAGCGTACGACGTTTCGGTTGCAACACAAGCAGCCATGATGGTTATGTGTTTCCTCTCTCTCGTAAATTTAGCTCTTCTGTACCTGATGATGGCTGCTTGTGTTGCAACCGAAACGTCGTACGCTATAATGTTATTTTATTATTTTATTATTTATACGTGACTTTACCGAAAGAACCAAAGATTAATTCCTGCAGTCACGCAAAGCTTGAAACCAAGTTTGATCCTGCCACGTGTTGACGGTAGGGGGGGGGGGTGCTTGCTGCTCCTGCTGCTGTGTGTGTGATCCCAAATTGGGCGTGCACGTTGAACTTCCTTCACACCGTACGTTGCCAATCGCGTTAATCGGAGGTGATTTGCTGGTAGGGGTAATTTTTCTAATTTTTCTGCGGCACGGTGGGGGGGGGAGGGGCGCGGGGGGGGGGGCGGGGCGGTCTTTAACGTGCACCCCGAGTGGAGCGGACGGCGCCCACGTGGGCTGTACAATGTTGTGCACGCCACCGCAGGAATGATAACCAGGGCGGCCGCTCGCTTCGAACCGTGCGATACTCTAGCGACGGGCGGAGGACCGTGAGGGCAGCTGTGTTTGGTGGGGTGGTTGGCACCGTGTGGCCCGTGATGTCGAGAGTCGAGAGAGAGAGGCGGAGACGGAGAGAGAGAGGCGGAGAGAGAGACGGAGACGGAGAGAGAGAGAGAGGCGGAGAGAGAGAGAGACGAAGAGAGAGAGAGACGAAGGGAGGAGGCAGTTGTCGGCTCGTGCCGATGTAAGCCGTGCAGTGGAGCGGACCGAGTGTGCCCGGCCGCCTGGCCCTCACGGGGAATTGCTCCAACTGCGATGCGAACCGCGATAAGTGATCGAGGGCGAGGGGGGGGTCACGTGACTAGAACGTGGCCAACTCGTCACTAGGACAGCACTAACCGGCGGTGTGTCGAAGAGCCAAGCCACAACATTTACTCAGTACCGTGGCGTTTCGCCAGTAATTACAACTCGCTTCATCAGACGACCTAACCCCAACGACACCTCGATTATGGATTATATTGGTCGACAAAGCCGAACGCGTTAAACTGCCAAGGGTGGGGAGGGGGGTGTATCGGATGCGAAACGTTGACCCGCCGACTCATCTTTGATGGGGGGGGGGTGGGGGGGGCATTTCTACGTTTTCATTTCTGCGGACGAATCTTTGATTTGGAGGTGGCTTACGAACGTTTGTTTTCTGATGGCCACGATACGTTTCCGAATGCGGTCCCTGTATCACCATTTGGACGATCGTTATTCGTGTAAATGTTGCTCCATGAGGGATGTGGAGTTGATGCTAGAGGGGGGGTGGTGAGGGAGGGGCGTGGGGTGAGGGTTGGCGGGGGTGTGGGGTGAAGGGCGGTGAGTGGGGGGGGGCATTGTCAGGGGGGTGGTGAGTGGGGGGTTGAGGGTGGGGGGAGGGGATGTGGGGGTGGGGGCATTGTGAGGGGGGAGAAGCGGTGTGGGTGAGGCTGGAGGAGATTGCGTGAGAGATGGAGAGAGATGGACACACCAGACAAAGATAAAGATCCCCCGGATAGTCTTTAACAGATTGTTGGGGCAAGTGCTGTTAGCGAGCACCTATGAAGGCCGGCACAGCACACGAGGGGGTGGGTGGCCAGCACCACGCCCGACCGCCTTTGTCTCCCTAGTGGCGATATTTACACACCGCACCAGGTACTCATTTGAGGCTAAGTCGACCTAGGGGACACACACACACATATACACACACACATATATACACACACACACATATATACACACACACAAATACACACAAATACACACACGCACAGATACACATATACACAGATACAGGTGAATATAGAAGGGGTCCCGGCAGAGGCATTCCGACTTCCCAGGGCATTGCACACGAAGTGGTGGCTGCAGGAACCACGCCCGGCCGTCTTTGTCTCATCCCGAGTGACGAGGTTCACCCTCCGCACCAGGCTGAGTCGACGTTACGGGGCAGGGCTCCCGGGACAAGCTCTGACAGGGCCCGCCACTGATGTGAGCCGGGAGTGGAAGTCAAACTCAGTGTCGCCGGGGTCGTAGTACCATGCGGCCAACCAAGACAAAGACAACGATCCCCCGTGTAGCCTCAGCACACTTTTGGGGTAAGTGCTGCGAGCGAGCACTTACTAAGGCTGGAACGGCACACGAGGGGGGGGGGGGTGATTTCAGGCCGAGCCGATCTAGGGGAGGCCCAGAACCGGTTCACATAATCGTCACCGGTGATGGCCGTGAGCGGGAATCGAACACGTGTCGCCGGGTTCGTAGCGCAGCGTAGCGCTAACCGCTACACCACCGCTCCCCACATTTACACACTCACTGCCACAAAGATAAAAGACAAAGATCCCTCATATAGCCCTAACAGACTGTAGGGGCAAGTGCTGTTAGCGAGCACCTATAAAGGCCGACACGGCACACGAGGGGGTGGGTGGCCAACACGACGCCCGGCCGCCTTTGTCTCCCCAGTGGCAATGTTTACACCCCGCATCAGGTACTCATTTGAGGCTGAGTCGACCTAGGGGAGGCCCGGGACCGGTTCAGATAATCGTCACTGGTGTTGGCCGTGAGCGGGAATTGAACCCGGGTCGTCAGGTTCATAGCGCAGCGTAGCGCTAACCGCTACACTACCGCTCCCCTATCGCTCCCCACACACACAGATACACACACACAGATACACACTCACAGATACGCACACACACAGATACACAGACGCAGACGCACACACGCAGACGGATTGTGCTCTAGCGTCGTGTAAACAGGAAGACACAATGATGCACCCAGGGGGAATGGCAATGTACACACGAACTGTAAATACAAGCCCCCCCCCCCCCGTGTAGCCTGTAACACTGCTGGGGCAAGTTGCTGTTCACGAGTAGCCACCGAAGAAGGCCGGCACGGCGCACGAGGGGGTGACTGGCCAGCACCACACACGCATGCCCGGCCGCCTTTGTATCCCCAGTGGCGATGTTTACGCATGGCAGCAGGTTTCAAACAAAAACACAGAGGTCACGGAGAGAGAGATGCAACTGGGAGAGATTTGTTGAGAATTACGGAGGGAAAATGAGAATCAATAGAGATTAAATAATAGGGGCAGCGGAGACACACACAGACACACTCACACACAGACACATTCACACACAGACACATTCACACACAGACACACTCACACACAGACACACTCACACACAGACAAACACACAGACACATTCACACACAGACACACACAGACACACTCACACACAGACACACAGACACACTCACACACAGACACACTCACACACAGACACACACACAGACACATTCACACACAGACACACACAGACACACTCACACACAGACACACAGACACACTCACACACAGACACACTCACACACAGACACACACACACAGACACACACACACAGACACATTCACACACAGACACACTCACACAGACACACAGACACACTCACACACAGACACACTCACACACATTCACACACAGACACACTCACACACAGATACACAGACACACTCACACACAGACACACTCACACACAGAAACACTCACACACAGACACACTCACACACAGACACACACAGACACACTCACACACAGACACACAGACACACACACAGACACACTCACACACAGACACACTCACACACAGACACACTCACAGACACACTCACACACAGACACACTCACACACACACTCACTCACAGACACAC